GGGGGGAGGGGAGCAGTGAGGACGCGACGCGACGGGATGAGTGTGTACGCGTGAATGCGTGTGAGGGGCGGAGGGGGAGAAACGGGACCTGGCGTAAGCGCGAGCCAACATCAAGGGCCCCAGCCTACTGGCAGTCTGCCAGATGTCCAGAGGACACGCCCACACATGCACACGCTCATACGCACGCACCCATCAACCATCCACACCCAAGAGCACAGCACGAGCATCGCACAAACCATTACACAACGCCCAACCCACAGCCAACCGCGGCGCCCACCGAGCCCGTGAGGGTGATGGCGCCGATGACGTCACCCAGGAACGCCGTGGTCATGTGCACGCCGTCCATAGCGGCATGGCCGCCGGCGGCGCCGTCGGCGGCCAGCATGATGTTGGCGATGGAGGTGACGGTGGCGGCCAGGCCGACCAGGGAGTGGTAGGCCGCCACCATCTGTCGGCGGGGGGCGTTTGAATTCCGAGTGGGTAGATTCGTCGGGAGAGCACTGAAGGAGATGTCCGGAAGCCATTTGGACGGCTAGAGATGCGCTTTAGAGGCGTTCTGGGGTTTTCGCGCCAGCTGGTGTGGTCAAATCGATGCACGACTGACGTTCCCGGGCGCCTGTGGCGCAAGAAAAGACCTGCTGGCGCCTTTCCGCATGGCATGCCACAGGCAGTGAGGCGCACGATGCTGCCCTGCCTGCCGCGCACTGCCACCGCCGGGGGTAGGGTGGGTTGGGGAGCAAAGGCGTGTCTCACCTGCGGCAGGTCTGTGATCTTGATGCGCGATGCGATCTGGTTGCCCACCACGCCGCCGGCCGCAAGGCTGCCGATCACCTGTCAATTTAAATAGTCAAGTTATTGGGGTACGGATGTCAGGCCGGCGCTCCCGGGACGGTGCGAGGCGATTAGATGCTCTCCACTCATTCAACACGCAGCAGCGCTGGAGTCGAGAGCAGATACAGCCCCCCTGTCATCGAAGGTTAAGTGCCCTGCTCAGCGCTGCCCCCCCTCTCCCCCCCCCTCGCCTGCGCGTAGGTGCCCGCGTCGGCGTCCATGCCTCCCAGGGTGGCCACGATGCCCCCGCTGACGCCGATGAGGCCGAGGGCGTTGCCTGTGCGCGCGGACTCCTGCTTAGACAGGCACGCAATGGCCGCGATGCACAGGGCACTGCGGTTTTGGAGGGGTTGGGGGGGCGGGGTTTAGTGGGCGGGGTTTTAGGTGGTGGCTGTGGGAGGATTGGCGGGCGAATCGAGGGGCGGCCGGAAAATGGGTCCTCACACACGCACACGCACACACACCTGCGTGCACACAAGCACATATAATATCTCTCTCTCAATCAAACACACGCTCTCGCTCACACACACTCACTCCTTACCTGGAAACGAGGTATGTGGCTGAGGTGACCTCATCAAGGCCCAGGTAGCGCCCCGCAGCCCAGCCCGCCAGCAGCACGGCGCCTACGCTTGCACGTGGGGGCAAGAATTGGGGACCGATGTTGACGGTTGGGCGAGCGGCTCGATGCTTCCGGGGGGTCGAGAAGTTGTTTTGTTTTTCGGCGGTTTTTGGGGCAGAACACATCGACATGACGCGAGCGATGGGAGCAGCAGCATAGGGATGAAACAGGGTCGACACCCCGGATTGACACTGGCCTTGATCATCGTTGCAACAGCATTGCTGTGGCTATGGCTCACCGGGGATGGCGTAGAGGTTGTTGTACTCAATGGGGTCCTCGGGGCGCTTGAACATGTCCAGCATGCGCTGCGCGGCGGTTGGGGGGCGATTAAGGTTGGGCGGCGGTTGGCGTTGTGTGTGGCGCTTGGTCGCGGCGATTTGCGTTTGCGGGATCAACAGCGGTCGGTCACTGCAGCTGGCCGCGCCCCGCGGGTTTGGGGCCGGCCGCCGCAGGCAGTCACAGGGGGTGTGTGCACAGCGGGCGGCGCCACGAGGCCCACTGGCGGGCGGCGGGATAGTAGTGCCGCGCGCGGGACCTGTAGTGGGGCCACGGCAACGCCGTCGCCGCTGTCGGCCGCCAATCACCCGAGATCACGGGTCCAGATATCTCAGACCGCGCGGCGCGCGCACCTGGGTGATGGTGAAGCCTCCGCCGATGTTGACGGCGCTGACTAGGACGGCGGTCGCGGCCAGCCACTGGGCGGTGCTCTGGGGGATGAGGCCGCCGCCCGCCAGCACCATGCCGCCTGGGGGGGGGGGGTGACGAGAAAAAATATGGGAGGGGGGAGGCCCACTCAAGACAAAGAGACGAGGGACGAACGATGCCGGGTGGGGTCCTTCTTGGGGATAAGCGTAGAAGGGGTTGAGGAGAGGGCATTCCAAGGGCTGGCCCTCGTCTGAGGTTGTTAAGGGCCGCACGTTCATGACCACACACCATCTCCCACGCATCATCCCACAAACACGCAACAAACCCCGTTGTAGCGCACGCGCCCCCACGGGCAGAAACCGCTGGTCTCCACCCCCGTGCGCCTATGGAAAGCCGGGCTGCCAGCCCCAGCAGTGGGGGCTGGTGGGGGAGGTGGGGTGGGGTGGGGTGGGGCTCACCGACCGCGGTCAGGCCGCTGATGGCGTTAGTCACGGACATGAGGGGCGAGTGCAGGGCAGGGCTCACACCCCACACGGTCTGCAAGGTTTAGGGGGGTTGAGGGGGAGCGGAGAGGGAGGGTTCCAGATGGTGAGTTTACTGTGAAATAGCGTGTAGGAATCAAAGATTTTTGAGCATGGCAGTCATGCAGAATGTAGGTTGTGGGGAAGCAGTATGATTTGGGGCCGTGGGTGGCGCCGAACGACCAGCGGGGGTGGGGGTGTGAGTGCGGGGCAGGAGCCCTGCTTTGGGGGATGTAAATATGCGCGGGCACAGGGCGCTGAAGAGCGGCTTGGCGGCAACGGCAGGCGCCGCGCTGATTGAATCCAAGACTTCTTTGCGTTAGCCGGCACGGCGCGAGCCTCCCTCCCCTATTCCATCCCCGGCCGGCCCCCGCCTTTTGACCGCGGATGAGCAGTGCGCCTCGCCGCGCGCCGGGGTCGCGACACCCGGCCCTCAACAGCCCCGCCCACACCCAAAGCACACCACCGAATGGACGCTGGAAAAAGGTCCAACCCCCCAAATCCAAATTGACCACGAAATCTACGAGCCCAGCAAGGGGACTTTTCAAACACACACACACACACACACACACACACACAAATACACACACACACACACACACACACACACGAGCATCGCCCATCCTCAGCCCCAGAAAAGCGCCCACCTGGTAGCCGCAGATGGAGGCCAGGCCGAACTTTGTGAGCATGCCGGAGAACGCGGTGCCGGGGGACACGGCGCCAATGGCCAGGGTGGCGGCGGCGGCACCGGTGGTGGTCAGGGCGTTGGAGAGCGTGGGGGCGTAGAGG